AGACCTAAGAAAATGGCACATTTCATCACTTTTGAGTATGAAATGTCCCATTTTTCTTGTGTTCAAACTAACGTCCGATTCGAACATATGCAATGCAATACAAAAAATGTTCATCTTGCCTCTTTTACTTGCCAATTTTGTTTACTCATTTTAATTACCAAATCATTCCTTAATCCATTAAGTCTATTGGTGAGTGTCCTCTAATGGAAAGAGGGCTCATACCACAAGTTGTTTTGGGCATGAAAGAGGCATTAGACTGTTGGTAATGAACCCCCCAAGGGATTAAACCATTGGGTGTAGCACCTCTATTTCACACTTGGGCAAACAAGTGGTTTGGAACTACTTTCAAAGCAAAACAAAAAAGTGAAGAATTGAGGGAGATTGCAGAGATTGTAGTGCTGAAATTAGGTGAGGAAAAGCACTAAAACAAGCAATCAACTCAAACCAATGACGGTTAAAGCCTAAAAACACCAAGCTAGTGAAGGAACTTACACTACAACCATGCCATACAAGGCTCAAATGAAACAAATAGCCAAAAACAAAGGCAAAACAACCCTAAATATAGCCTAAAACATGCTGGACTTGAGCCACAAAAAGCTAATACATGGGGCTAACTAGGCATGCAAACAAGACACAAGGAGGGGAGGCTAGCACCTCCAATTTTGGGCTTCAAAATAAGATTTTTGCCACTGAAAAACCTCTAAAATTCAGTGGTTAAAAGGACCAAAAAAATTGGTTTCAAAGTGATGAATAAAAGCACAAATGTGTTAAGAACTAAGATACAAGAAGGGTGGACTATCCCTTAACTAAAAATAGCCCCAAACCAACACTTTTAAGCCATAAAAATAGAACTTTTTTAGTTCAAAACCAGCTTCAAAACAATTGAAAAGGATGGCAAAACAAGTATACAAAATAAGTATAAACAAGGCAAGTGTTATACCTTTGAAGCAAAGCACAAGTTGGCCAACAATCCAAGCCAAAAATCACCTTCTAGAGCTCAAAGAAAGTCCCAAGTTACCTCAGCCCAAAGACTAACAACTTTGGTTAAGGTAGTTTATGTAATAGTGTAGAGAAAACAAGCTACGAAGCACAAAATTGTAAGAGAGAGAGAGAGATATATAATTTTGGTCCAAATTTTCTTACCCTCAAAAATGGGAGAAGAACCCCCCTATATATAGAAAAACATGCCTTGAGCTTAGAAACATCCTACCATACATGTGTAGGAAAATGCAGCTCAATGTGCTAACAGCTAGCACAGTTGTTAACAAATATCTGGAAAAGCACACTGGTAGCCGTCGGCCACCACTGGTGGCCAACTGGCCACACCAATGGCTGACAAGCACAATCCATGGCCGACAGCCTATGGTGGTGGCCGACAGGTCACCAAGAGGTTCCAGACACAAAAACAACAAGAATTGGTTCAAAACAAGCAAAAAAAAGACAAGGTATAGAGGATCAAAGACAGGGCATTCCACCGAGGACTTCAGGCACTCAAAACGAACACAAATAAACACAATCATCGAGTGTACAAGCGATGACATCCAAGTCTTGAGGATGGTAAAAATTGGGGTGTCTATATACTCGCCTTGACCTGCTTTCTTCGGTGCGTCTCCCTCTTGGCCGACGTCCTTTTTCCTGGGATCTTGATCTCGAGGTCCTTCATTACAGTTCTCCTCCTCCACATTAGGATTGGCGTGTTTGCCACTCTCACTAGGGATGTCGTCCCCGACCTTTTCTTTCTGCCCGTTGTTGGCCATCTATTCTCCTTACGTTCACACAGACGTCGCCAAATTGTGGGTGTTGATTTTTGACCACACACCCAAATGGGAAACTCAGCTAAAGAGCACCGGCAGAATAGATTAAGTCCTAACAACCTGTCACAAAAAGATAAGAATACCGCGGTGATTTGTCCACCCGAGGACACTACGACAATCAAGTTAGCAATCAATATCTCTCATAGATAACGAATAGTGCTTAACTCACTAGAAAAAACATAAAAAGCATACCTTAGACCCACGGGGATGTCTTGCTTTTATAATAATCAGTGTCTAACTTCCCCTAAAAGTCTTACTTCATGGGACTCTAGCACATAATGCTTATCTTGGACTCTTAACTAGATAGGGATTAACTCCCCCAAAGCTTTATCCCCATCCAGTCTAAAGCCCTCTTTCATCTTGGACTCCTGTCCCTTATCCATTTGCCTCGGACTCCGATATCTTCGCAAATAACCTCGGTCTGGCTAAGATCAACTCGGCAAGTGACCACGCCACGTGGCACCTCGGCTGACACTTCATCGTCACTTTGACCACGTGCTGTCATTCAAAAAATATGCCCCCACAGCGGCCACGAAACCTCCAATCCGCCATCTGTTTGCCAAATTGGCAAATTGGAGAAAATCAATCCACATTCGTCCGCCAATCCGGCGAATGTGGATTGATGAATTGGCGGATGGATGCGAATCGGTTTGGCGATTTAAAATTTTATAAATTTTTAACATAATTCAATTTGTGCACTACCTCAAAAAAAAGAAAAAAGATATCATAGTCAATAACTTAAAAAAGTAATACAATCACTGCATGCTTCATCCAAAGAAAGAAAGTTTGAAATTTTAAAATATTACAATCACTGCATGTCTCGTTCACATATTAAAATCACAGCATGCCTCATCCACAGAAAGTATTACAATCTGCTATTCTTAAAATATAAAAATAATTCAAACCACCAAAACCATGAATATAGCAATAGTAGAGATTGTATGTCTCTGCATTGTTACATTTATATCTGTTTTTGAAAACAAAAACCAACCAACATATATCATCTTTTTTATTTATTATTTTTAGAGTTAGATTTAAAAACTAAAAAATATAGATAAACAATACATTTATTTTTTTCAATTCAAAAAATATATTCAAGTTGAAAACTCTTTTTCAACAGAATATATTCAACAGAATATTTAAATTTTTTTTCAATTGAAAATATAAACAGAATATCTAAATAAATTGAAAACACAAAGTCTTACAAGTTACTAGGGATGTCCGTAGTTTGGCGGCTCGGTTGCTGTTAAAGGAACCTCAAATCCGTCATTTATCCAAAATTAGGCAGATTGAAAATAATCAATCCGCAACCGTTCGCTCGTCATCATGCATCCGTCCAAAATGCGGCAAATCAGTTCGGTTCGATCGATTTGGACAGATCGGTATATCCGTTGCTCACCTCTACAAATAAGGACAATTGAAGATACCATTATTCAATTTCAAGAGCAAAGTCGTCAATTTGATAAAATATAAACTAATTTGACAAAAAATAAATGTCAAAAAAATATTTTCAAATTTTAAAAAATTATTTCCACCTACCAAAAATAAAATTATATAAAATTAATAAATCTTTTACACATTTATTTAGTTATTTATTTTTTATCAAATTATTTTTTATTATGTGTTTGGAGGATGATCATGTAAAAGTTGTTGTTTTTGTTGATATTTTTCGATGATTATCACGTAATAGATGGTTGTATTTATTTTTAACAGATATTTTTAGATGATTATTATGTAATAGATGGTTATTAGGCTTTTAATGTGTAATCAATGTATTTAATATATGAAATATTTTTAATTTTTGATTTTTTGATTTAATGGATTGGTTTAATAATGATATCAAAATTGTCGCCATATTTGACTTTTGAGAAAATAAAAATTGATTTAATGAAAATAAAAACAATCACCCATTGCATTATCATCATTCAAACACATACTAAAAATTAATTTGATAAAAAATATATAAATATGTAAAAGATTTATCAATTTTGCATCATTTTATCTTTGGTGGGTAGAGATAATTTTTAAAAATTAAAAAATATTTTTTTAGCATTTATTTTTGTTAAATTAGTTTATATTTTATCAAATTGACGACTTTATCCTTAAAATTGAGCAATAATATCTTTAATTATCCTTATTTGAAACAAGATTTAAAATTCAAAATCAAATATGTCACAATTAAAAAGTTAAGAACTAAAATGACACAAATTCTAAACTGTAAGAACCATTAGTATAATTCTCATTTTCTCTTTTAGCTGTATTGCCTATTGCAATCTATTTTTGGTACAAAGGGAAAGGAAGAAAGCTAGACAAACCATTCAAAAGAAACCCCCCTTGCATTTGCAAGACTGAGTGCTTATTTGGTTTCATTTTTCAGGGTTGACTTATTAAAAAATTAAATTTTTTTGCTTTTTGTATTTTTTTATTTTCACTAAAATTTTCTAATATTCTAAGAATTTTGTTTTGTAATTTTTAGATACATCTAACATAAATATATTTAAAAAGTATAATATTTGTGAAAAAAATCTTTACAAAATTCACTAAATACCAAAAATATAAATAAAAAAATACTAAAATTCAATACATTTTTTGTGTTCTTGTATATTTATTGATTTTTTAAAATATTTTTTTACAAATATTTTACTTTTTAAATACATCTAAGTGAGGTGCATCTAAAAAAGTTCTAAAAAAAAAATTACTTCCAATTTTAAAAATATTCATTAAAAATAAAAAAAATTACGAAAAATAAAAAATTAAAACCAAACACAGTGATTAGCTCTCTAAGGGGAACGTCAAGGTGATTCAAAATCACATGGTCTTCAAATCTAAACACATCCACACGTTTACAATTTATTTTAATTTTGTTTTTAAGCTAAGAAATACGTATAAGTCATATATCAAACAGTCAATCTGACAATTCCTCAATACTACAAGCGTGTGATTTGACTAATGCTTGGTATGGGATACACTAAATAATACAAAAAGTTAAAAAGTTACTATCATATTTAAGTCACATCATCTCATTTAAATTATATCACCTCTCTAACATATCACATCAAACTCAACTCAAATCGACCCATATAAGCCAATAAGTCAAAAAGTACACTTTTTTAAAACATCCCAAACCAACCCTAAATAACCACAATGAACCTTGGGAGCAAGTTTCTTTGGATTGACAATTCAAGCAAAAGCTTATTAGGTGAGTCCAAATTGTCTGCTACCTAGCTAAATTGAATTCTTCAACTATCTTACTTTCATCTAATTTAGACATTTTCTATCATACTGAAGAACATCAATGGTTTCTATAACTTTTTGATTCATTTGACGCATTTTTACTACAAAAAGAAACTATGCTTCCGTATTAGATCAAATCTTCGCTGATCAAAAAAATAAAAATAAAACAAAGGTCAAATTAATATTCAGTCATGTTCTTGAAGGCTTATCTGTTGCTCTTTCTCCTAATGAGAGTGGCCGCCTCTGATAATAACAATGGTTATGGTTTCACCTTCAACGGAAACTTTAAACTAGGCGTTGGCGAAACAGACGTTACACCAGACAGTCTAGTCAACGTTTGCAACACAACTGCTTTCTACTCTTCTCCGCTTGGCTTCAAAAATCCATCAACCGGTAAAGCTCTCTCTTTTTCTACTACCTTTGTGTTTTCCATTCTCCCTGAAAAAAATCCATACAATTATCAAAGCCATGGAATTTCCTTTTTGATTGCACCATCAAACAATATACCTGGATCATCAACTCCTCCTGCCCATATAATTGCTGTCGAACTATACATGTTTAATTCTGTAGGCGTAGATGTTGTCAACATCAACAGATCCACACCTGCAGGTTATTTTGAGAATGAAAATGGGGAATTCAAGAAGCTCACTATAGCAAGCGGCGAACCAATACAGGCTTGGGTAGACTATGATAGTGTTAGGAAAAAACTTAATGTCTCTTTAGCTCCTATAAACACAAACCAACCCAATCTCCCACTTTTGTCTATAGACATCGATATATCATCAATCGTCTCAGATCAAATGTATGTGGGGTTTTATTCGACCTCACAGTCTAGTAATATTCTAGGCTGGAGTTTTCAACTCAGTGGAAAAGCACAACTTGATCTCTCTAATCTAGATTATTTTTCGAAAGGAAAACATACCAAAAAGAAGAAAATAATTGTCATATCAACTGTGTCTGCAGTGGCGGTTGTTTCTGTATTACTAATATTCTTAGTCATCTTTTTATGGGTGAAAAGGAAAGCCAAGTTTAGTGAAATACTTGAAGATTGGGAAGTTCAGTATAGAGCTCACAGGTTTTCCTACAAGGACTTATTCAAAGCTACCAAAGGCTTCAGAGAAAATGAGCTTCTTGGAAGAGGAGGCTTTGGTCAAGTGTATGGAGGTGTGTTACCGAATTCAAATACCCAAGTCGCAGTGAAAAGAATATCTCAAAAATCAAAACAGGGAATGAGGGAATTCATAGCAGAGATTGCTACGATTGGCAGTTTACGACATCCCAATTTGGTGAGACTCCTTGGATATTGTCGACGAAAGGGTGAGCTCTTTTTGGTCTATGATTTCATGCCTAATGCAAGTCTTGACAAATTCCTCTTCTGCAAGTCGGAAAAAGACACTCTTAATTGGAGTCAGAGATTCAAAATCATTGGCGACGTGGCTTCAGGACTCACCTACTTACACGAGGAGTGGGTGGCAGTAGTTGTTCATAGAGATATCAAGGCAAGCAATGTACTATTGGATGGGAAATTAAATGGTAAATTAGGCGATTTTGGGCTAGCAAGATGTTACAAACATCATGGTAACGGTCCTCAAACTACAAACATTGCAGGTACGTTAGGCTACATTGCGCCAGAGCTAGCAAGATATGGTAAGCCAACTACAGGCACCGATGTTTTTGCATTCGGAGCATTTTGCTTGGAGGTTGCTTGTGGTAGGAAGCCAGTGGAACGACGAGCAGAGCCTGGAGAGGTGATTTTGGTGGATTGGGTTCTAGAATGTTCAAAGAAAGGCGAAATCTTGAAGGCAGCGGATCCCAAATTAAAGAACAAATTTGAAGCAGGGGAGATGGAACTAGTGTTGAAGCTTGGACTGCTTTGTTCACACCCTGTGGCAGAATTTAGGCCAAAGATGTCTCAAGTTTTGAAATACTTGAAGGGCTATGACTCACTCCCTGAAGATTCGGATACCCTTTGGACACAAGAACATTGGGTGGAAATCAACGATTCTAACATGTCACTGTCCCATCATTTAACTTCTCAGTTACAAGATTCAGTGGCCTCGTTAACAATTACCGAATTGTTCACCTCTAAAGGCCGCTGATATGTTACTTGGAACACATATCATTTTGACATGAGCGTTTGTACCTTATTTTAAATAATTTTTTTTTTTTTTTTTTTCACAAAATCTTTGTATGCCTCTGTTTGGCAAGATGGTTTTCAGGCTTTTTTGGCTATTTTAGCCACAAAAAACAAAATAGGCTATTTTAGCCATAACAAACAAAACATCACATCCAACCTATAATCATTACATTCTTCTCTCACAAAAAAAGTCAAAAAAGCTAAAAAGTCAAAAAGCCAAAAAGCCCTTCCCAAACCAAGCTTTTTAGCCCAGGCTAAAATAGCCAAAAAAGCCAAAAAGCCAACCTACTTTCCAAACCAAGCCTATAATGATTGAGGTTAGTTTGTTAGTCAAAATCTTTACACTTTACTAGGAGATGAGAGGTTAAAATATTCTATTTATTTATGGGTTGTTTTTTTCGTGTATTTATTAAGATTTTTTTCTTTTACTTAGAGAATTTTTTTTTTTATTAGTCGTATCTTGTATTGATCTTGATTATAAATACAATTCATTAGCTTTAGTGTAACACGATTCATTAATTTTTAAAAAAAATTCCTACAATTTGTCACTTAAATGTTTAATTTTACTAAAATCTTTTTTATAAATCTTATATTATTTATGAGAATATCTTGTCTCCAGTCCACTCGACTATACTATTTGAGCACATGAAGTTCACCATAGGATCTGTTTTGATGATTCAAATAATTTACTTTTTAAATTTTAACACATAGATCATTATTTTATATTATTTAGGGAAATTTTTTTTAAAGTCCCTAATATGAAGATTTTTTAAAATAAATGATATACAATAATTTCATAATAATTGGAGTCCCTCAACATTTTCATAAAAAAAATCAACTCAGAGAAATTTCTGTCCGACTCAGAGAAATTTTGACCCAATACAAAGAAATTTATTTGATTTCACAGAGAAATTTTAAAATTTCTCTGATATAATCATAGAAAAATTAAATCGAGAGATCTTAACTAATAAATAAAAATATCTTAGACATCTCCTACTAGGCTACTACACAAAGTTAGTGAGGGATGTTTTACTAATTTTCCTTCTTATTTATGATAAGTTGTTCTCATTATTTATATCTCCTCTCTTATTTCTTTCTTGCCTACTATTTAATTCTCCTCTTTTTTTTTTTTCTTCTCTCTTTTTCTTTTTCTTTTTCTTTTTTTGGTTGGCGTGTGTGTTGGGGGGGTGTGGGACAATTTTATAATTCTCATTTTTTTTTCTCCTCCTATGGTATAAATAATGAGGGGGGAGGAAAATTTTATAATTCTCATTTTTTTCTCCTCCTATGATATAAATAATGATTTTACTTCGAAACAAAAATGATTGAGTGTGGTCAAATGGATGAACCACTTATTTTAGATTGTGATTCAATGAAAACAACTTCAATAATTTTTTAAGATTCTACTTAGTTTAAAGTTTTAGGAAGAGATTTGACCCAAAAAAAAAAAAAAAAAAAAAAGAAAAAATATTATTAAAATATATTCATATTTCATTCATTTCACCATTATTTTATTTTTTTTTTCTAAATCTCTCTCTAAAACAATAAATCAAATACAGTCTATAGAATAGAATAGAATAGAATAGATATATAATTATCTTGATAATTTATATTTATTAATAAGATTGAATATTTATTATACAATTAAAAATTTAAAGAAATAAAATATAAATTTTAAAATCACGAAAAGCAATATGAATTTTAGCAAACCTCATGAATATATGTTATTGTTTGGGAAGGGCTAAAGTAGTTATTTTAGTCACAAAAAATAAAATATCACATTTAATCTATAACTATTACATTATTTTTTCACAAAAAAAAATCAAAAAATTCAAAAAGACCTTCGTAAGACAAATTTTTTAATCCAAACTAAAATAATTAAAAAAATCAAAACACTAAAAAGACAATCCAAATCCGAACGGAGGCTTATCCTAAAATTAACATTCAATCGGTTCGAAACAGAACCCCGGATAGCAAAAAAAGGGGCTTTTTATAATGAACCGGTTTTCCTGGCTGGTTCAACCTATCATCGACTGGTTGTGATTGATTGATTGTTCTCTTCGTCGAGAAGTCGGTGTTTGTTTGATCAGAAAAAATGCCAGTGAGAGTGGTGGAGAGTTCTGCACCCTCTCAAGTTTCAGGTATTGAAATCAGATTACAATTTCATTCATTCATTATTTGATTCTTTGCTCCTTATATTTTGATTTGATATCCCTGAAATTGAATGTAATTTAGTTGCACATGTTTTGTAACACTGAGGTTTGAGTGCTGTGTTGAGATTTAGTTTCATTTTTAGATCTGGGTTTCAGGAATTATTTATGGAAATTTCTTCCTCTGCTTTGAAGGTCTGTTTGGTTGGTGAGAAATTAGAGGAAAAGAAAAGAGAAAGAAATTGAATAACCTTGAATTTTTTTTTTTTTTTGGTATACGAATTATTTGACCCAACAAGCTAAAATGGAATCAAATTTTGTTTTCAGAAGAATAAAAATGAGTCTTGAATTAATAGAGACAAATTTGTTGTTTGAGGAAGTAATGAAAGTGTGTCCTCATCCCCAAATCCTCCTTGAGCTACCAAGCTGCTCTTATGGGTTAGGGCTTTCAGAAAGGTTTTATCTTTTGTTCCATTTTTTTTTTTTTTATTCTTCTTGGGAGGTTTCCTCATCTTTGTTTCATTTGATGATTTAATTATGCATCTTTACTACTTCATGGTGTTTGTGGTAACTCATTGTCCGTTTTAAGGAGGTAAATAGAGAAAATTTATCGAAAAGCGTTGAAGAAAATAGACATGGAAATTAAGAGTGGTTTCACTTAGAACTTGATGCGTTCACATGCATGCAAAAGTGTTAGATATGCTTGTGTATTATATTGAAATGAATCCATATTGTGTATTATATTGAGTTCTGATTAAATTTCATGGTTTTAGAGGGATTTATCTGCAATTTTTTGGTTTGTCTTTGTGTTGGAAACTTCAAGTTATTTGTTTATGTAATCTTAATATATCCATTATTTCTCACTGTGAAGGTGCAAATCCTAGCCACACTTCACCCTCTGCTTGTACACTTCTAAGTGTTGGACAGGTGAATTCCCACTTCTTTTCTTTTTATTTTCATTTGTTTGCAGTTCTTGACATTATTGTCTATACTTCAATCTTTTAACACATGTTTTAATGTTTTACAGGCATTTTCTGGAACTCAGAATGTTTCTAGTCTACAAAAGGACGAAGCATGGAGAGTTAATGTACGAATCCAAGGTTGTGACCTTGAACATGGTTATCTTTGTGGCACCATGGAAGCTCTTAACGTTCCTATGGCAGACACACCAGTAAGCGGCTTCTATTATTAAGATAACGATTAGGCTCCTCTTCATATTTTATGGCCCATCATTGAATGTTCTGCCAACCATGTGCTTGAGCACAAAATCCTCTCTGGCATTGTTATGTTTCCTACTTATTTGCATGTTCTTTGAGGATTTTTGTTCTGATCACTACAATATTCTGACATACTCTTCTGACTTAGAGAGTTCATGTAATGTAATATGTCTCAAGTAATGTGATCATAAGTAAAATAATTGTTTGTGCTCAAGGAGGTCGTATGACCATTTACCAAGATAATGATTCTTTTACCACACCTAATTTTCCTGGTAGAAAAGAATCTTTTCTTTTCCAACATGTAAAAGAGCAATGCTATACATACCATATTTGGTTTACCGTCCCAAGCATGTTGTGTCCTACATTTTTTGAAATTCAGCAAGTCTCTGTTGTGTAATCTATGCTACTTAGCTGCTATTGTAGTAAATAGCAATACATCAATCTAGTCAATTTTTCACTATTCCTTCATGAACTTTCTTGATTGCTTCATTTCCTTTGTTCTTTATGTGGGTATCTCAGGTGGTAACCTTTTGGGAAGGGGAAATTGTTGATACCAAGAATTATACGTTCTTCACTGGCAAATGGGAAGCAACGTTTGTTCTCTCTCACTCTCTCTCTCTCTCTCTCTTATTCTTTAATACATTCTTATAGATTGGGAAAAGCTTTTCCCTCATAATCATTCTTTAAATTGTTAACAGATCAGAAGTTGACATAAGGCATTGGACCAAGTTCCCATCTTTCTCTCCCCTTCTGGTTAGTAATCAATACTTCTTCAAATTCAGATTTTACGCTTTGCTGATTGACTCTGCTTTTTTTCAGGGCCAAGTGGAAGTTGATGGTGGCAAATCTCTGGACCTGAGTAACTATCCTTACATATTCATGGTAACCCATTTTTCAATGCCATTGGTTCATTAAAAATTTTTTTTACTAGGTTAAGTAATGATATGCCATTACCTTTGACTTTACTCTGCAGAGATGGAAAGAGCAATACTTTGTGAATGTCGGAACTGACTGTGGGTTAACTATAGCTGGCTTTTACTATGTTTGCTTCTCTTGTAGTGATGGCTCCATCAATGGCTTTTATTATGATCCTAATAGCAGGTATGCTGCCTCCTTATTCACAATTCCTGAGCAGAGTGTTTCACAATCCACATTGCGACTCCCCTTTAATTCTTGAAAATATAAAATTGTTATGATAACAATTTTGTTTCCTTTTTCAATTGAACTGTATGCATGTTCATGAACCAAACATGTTACGCCTTGTACTTTATGCATTTTAGTTTCTGTTCTCTTAAACCTATTCAAGTGATTGATGAAGGCGTGTTCAACTTTGTCTGCAGCCCATTTCAGAAACTCGAGCTGAAATCAACTCATGAAGGAAGATCAGGTTTCAGTTTTTCTTCATATGAGTTGCAATAAATGGAAATAGCCAGTTTTTTTCCAGCACTGGTACTATAGATAAAATATGAGCATTTCATTGAGTCACATAAAGTTTGTGAAAGTTGATGTTGCAGTTGCTGATGCATAAAGTTTGACAAGGTGAGGTCTGTTACATGTTGGGGGAGCACATGGAGAATCCAAACATTGTGAACTACAAAATTTACAATGGAAGAGTTGATGTTATGTGCGCCATTTTTTTAGTTTTTAATTTTTATTGTTATGTGCTTCCATCTATGTTGGAAAGATTATTATGTATCCCCCATTGTTTAAACGTAACAATAAAGCTCTAGCAAAAATTGTTACTCTCTCTCTCTCTCTCTCTCTCTCTCTCTCTCTCAACATATCATTCATTTTCCGGAAACCAAAAAATTCAGTGCCTTTTTTGATAAAAACACAAATAGAGATGTGTGTGTGAAGCTTATATTGAATGAAAACGAAAACAATGAACAAACATATATGTATATATATATATTTTGCAGATTGATGTGAGATACAATAATAATACAATAATAAAGTTTTAATATTTGAAATGCATCACTTGAAATGAAATGATAAGAACAATTCAACTGTAAAATCAATTTTTAAATTAATTTTGTAAAAAATATTTGTTAGTATAGCATTCTCTAATGAAAAACAAAAACCCCATAAAGAAAGACACATGTCTTGTACCCAATAAAAAAGAGGAGAGAGAGAGACATGTCACCAGGTAGGTCCAAATTTGTTTTTACCTGATAAGGCGCAATCCCATTGAAATTGAACCTAGCAAACTATATTGATTGTAATTTAACACCCCAAGAACCAACACCTACTATCTCTCCACCAGGATGGGACCCAGAGGACTAATACTCAAACTCAAGTGGAAGGGTAGTAGATAAGGTTAGCTAGGGAGAAAGAAAGCAATGGCTACTGTAGCAGGAACCAAAAAAGAACAATGGCAACTCTGCCATCCATTTCATCCTCTTTCCTCCCATCAACAGCTCTAACAATCCATCCTCAGTACCAACAACAATTCTCTCTCTTTTTCAGTCCTAATCAAAGCATCAAAACCTCCCCAAATCGCATGGCTTTCAAGGTTCAGGCTGCTAAGCTTCCTGCAGGGGTATGTTCTTGTTTTTGCCTAATACATTAGATATGTGTATGGCTTTGTGAGTTTCTGCATCAAAATTCATTAAATCCAATTTTTTTATTTTTTTTTATTTTTTTGGAATTTTAGGTAGAATTGCCAAAAGTAGAACCAAAGTTCAAAGCACCTTTTCTTGGGTTCACAAGGACTGCAGAGACATGGAAGTCTAGAGCTTGTATGATTGGCCTCATTGGGACTTTGATTGTGGAACTGGAAATACTACTTTCACTTCCCTTCTTTCAATATAAAAGGATCAGAATTCTCTGTCATTATTTCTCTGCAATGACCTTATTGCGATAATCTTGTAGTCAAAGTTTAATGTTAAAACAAACAACACTGTTTTACCGTGAGTAGTTTAAAATAAGAAGACAGTATTTTAATATAATCTTACAATAATTTTAAACTTAGGCCATAGAATTATTTCTGATATAGTAAAAACCACAACAAGATTGTTGCAGAAAAGAATTGACAGAGGAGGCTCTTAATGGTTCTCTCTTTGAAGGGTTCTATCCAAAAATGTGACAAAACTATGAGAGGGGTTGTGTGTTCTTTCAAGTGTGGTGTTCTTTTATAATTGTCAAGGTCTCTGTTTTTTTTTTTTCCAGATAATAAACAAGGGAATACTTCAAGTGATTGGGGTGGATATTGGGAAAGGTCTTGATCTCCCTCTATAGTAAGCATTCAAGCCGAGAGAATAAGAAATCTATACATCACAGCAGGGGTTTCAATTTGCATCAAACTATCACTTGCCTTTTAAGCAGTGTGTTAACAACACACAACACTGCAATTTATTGAAATTACATTGTATTATTACTTGTAGTTTCTTTTGTATATGAAGCGTAAAAATTTTCTTAGAATTTGATTAGTTTTTGGTGCAAGAAGAAAGAATGGTTTGTGGGAAAAGATTGTTTAGCATTGCCAAAATTTAGATAATAATCAATCAACAGTATGCGGTTTGGTAATTTTCAGTTTCTACAATGTGACCAGACATTCTGATCACCAGTTGCCACCTTCTCACATAGCTGCAGGCTTGAATTACTTGGCCTCACAGCCTGATTGAGCAACCATCAGTAATCTTATGAGCGCTATATTGGTAAATTTCATGTCTAAATCACTTTGGAGTTAAAAAGATTATAAATTAGTAAATTGACACTCCATCATTGCATTAAGTTTTTTAACAGAACACATTTGTTCTATCATGAATTATTTCTGCAAATTTTATTGTTTCTTGTGCTTTGGACTCATGAAATCATCAAAAATAAAAATAATGTATCAAATTTGTAAAAAGTCCACTAAAGACACAGAAAAAAAATGAATTTTCTAGAAACAAAACCCTTCTGTGCATGTCAAAGTGTTCAATTCTTGAAAGAGAGATGCAATCGGTTAATCCTGATCCAGACTTCAAGTATTTGTCCTATAAAAAGGTTACAAAGCTAGCTTAATCCTCAATAAAGACAATGATTTTTAAATTAATATTTGAATCAATCTTTATCATTCACAAAACATACAAGCTCAAATATTTGAAATGAAATTCTTTTACATCAGAATGGCTATCTTATGCCACAAGGATGAAAAAGTAAAAACTGAGCCCTAATTATATATATGCCTCTTTATATATACTCATCCCTTCTCTTTTTAAAGATGAAGGGCATTTCTTAAAGATTACAAGTACTTTTATCACTAAAGCCACCACTAGGTAATCTGATTATTCCTCTACAATCATGCTACTTCAGTTAGAGATTAGTGATATATAATTATCTTTATATTTTTTAAAGCACTTTTGGCTTATGTTTTCTCATACAAGATAACACACGCCGAGGATTTTCAATACTCAATACATTCTTAATCGTATATGAGATGCAAATATTAAAATACAAGCATCTCAAGACACAAATCGTGTGATTGAAAGTACATTAGATATAACGAAACATGAATTTTGACTAGACAGAACAAAGTGTCCACATATTTACATGAATACATATGCAAAGAAAAATTGATTTTCAAGAAAATTTTTTGGGGTTAGCATTTCTCATCGAAATTTTCTAGGCACATCTACTTATAATGTGATGCAGACAGAATGGCTACAGCCGATTTGGTCCATTTGAATCATAAGAGGGAAAAACAAAAAATAAGTATTGGGCTCAATGTTGACAGATTGAATTCGGCCTATTTGGCTTATTTGAATCATAAGATGGCAAAACAGTAAATAAAGTGTTTGGCTCAACATTGGCCAATTAGCTCCAAAAGGCCTCTTTTGATTGGAATCGACCCAACATTCAGAACTCATAGCTTTGCTTTGGCGCCATTCAGGAAAACTCCATCCTTTAAGGCATCCATTTTGCCCTTTTTTTTTTTTTTTTTGAATTACTTCCTTCTCTACTGACTTAAAATTAACTTTTTTTTTTTTTTTTTTTTTTTTTGGTAATTTTTTCTTTAATTATAAGTAAGGAATTGTATTTTGTGGTTTTAGAGTTCTCCTACTCTTGTCTCTGTATGCTAATGTCTATATTCCTGAGCATGGTATTGATTGATTAAGTGGATCTAGCAGCCTTGGTATACACAAAAGATCCAATTCAAAATCTGACTCATTTTTTACTGTAAAGTATTTGGGCTTCCATGGCCCTAGCCCCCTCCTAGGCATGTGATCTTGATCAAAATTCTTGAGAGAGAGTTCCCTTGGACATACCAAAACTAGAAACACAATAGTACAAATTGTCTTTACATATAGAATTACAAGATAGATACTAAACTATATACTTTAACAAGAAAATAGTTACTAAATCAAGAACAAACCCTTCATTGGAAGCAATGCATATATGCCCTTTTCTTGTTAAAGTGTGAAGTTAAACTAAAGCCAAGACAACTGTTAACGAGGATGTTCCCTGTATTATCCGTTCGTTTGCACTTTAAAACCTCAGTGGTTGTCCAAACCTACCATTGTGCCACAACAATTGCAGACCTCTCTCTCTCCCTCTCTCCCTCTCTCCAAAACACATTATCTCCAATGCCAACTTCCTCAAATGTCCTCTGCTTTCTTTTCTTACTGTTCTCTCTGTCCCTTGCAAGTAAATTTTCTTCTTCTACCTTCTTTCAGATTTGTTTGTTTATGAATTCTTTTACCCAACCCATCTTTTAAAATGAGTATTTCTCAAATTTATGTTGTTTTGTGAAATAGTGTTTTCACTTCAAGCTTGAAATCGTGTTTTAAAACATCTTAAAGTCATGTTTTGATAAACAACATCAAGACTAATGTCTTGTTTTCAAAAGACTAATAACTCCATTGTTTATTTACCCAACTGATTGATTTTCTTCTATTTGTACTATGTTATTGCAGACGGGGCTCAACTTATAGTCGTAAACAATTGCAATGAAAGCATATGGCCAGCATTACTTGGTGGCACTGGTCATCCTACCCCAAAAGATGGCGGCTTCCACCTCAGCAGTGGTAAGGAAATAGTGGTCGACGTGCCTCAAAAGTGGTCAGGGAGGGTGTGGGCCAGGCAAGGTTGCAATTTTCATGATACTGGAAAAGGATCGTGTGACACTGGAGACTGTTCTGGTCGACTGCAATGCCAAGGCTTAGGTGGCATACCACCAGCAACGGTGGTGGAAATGACATTGGGGACATCAACCTCGCCCTTACATTATTACGATGTGAGTTTGGTTGATGGGTTCAACCTACCGGTTTCAATGGCCCCAGTGGGGGGTGGGATTGGTTGTGGCATGTCATCGTGTGAGGTTGATTTGAACATTTTTTGCCCATCAGCGTTGGAGAAGAGGAGAGGAGGGAAGGTGGTGGGGTGTAAGAGTGCTTGCTTGGTTATGCAATCAGCTAAGTATTGTTGCACTGGCAAATATGCAAACCCTAAAACTTGCAAGCCCACTCTGTTCACAAATATCTTCAAGGCAGCTTGCCCTAAAGCCTATAGTTATGCTTTTGATGACTCCAACAGCCTTAGCAAATGCAGGGCTTCACGCTATGCCATCACTTTCTGCCCACCTAAATGAAAGAAATTATGCTACGGAGTCAAGAAAAAATAAATAAATAAATAACTAAAAATAATGTGTGTTGACCAGATTCATTTTGAGTGTGGCCTATATCACACTAAAATTTGAATCTGCATTTTACGTTTCATTTTCTTATCACTTTTCAAACTAATTTTGTTACTCTTCTCTTTTTTCGGAAACTAATTAAGGGAGCATTCATGGCTTTGTGAGGGACTGGATGGTATTAGTGTTGAAGTTTGTTTGTTTGTTTGTTTTTGGGTTGCTTTTGAATCGTTGGTAAAAGTCCTGCTGGCTTATTAGGAGAGACATGATCTTGTTTCTGAAGTTATGCTAGTTATATATAAGTGGAAGATGAGTCGAAAAATTAAATCAAAACACTAGTTGTTAACTCTTACATAAATAATCTCAAGAGAGTGATGCATAGTGAAAATCAAAGACATGGCTAGCTTCATGATTATTGGATTGTATGGAGTTTTTAATACTGTGTTTGATCTTGAATTGGTGAAACAATAAGAAAAAAGATCATAATTCAATTTCTAGGACTCACCAAGCATATACATTAAAAGACAGAACAGGCCACTTAAACTCAATGAAAGTCTTCTTGTATAATTAGCATCATGGAGAACATATCAAATTCTAGAACTCACCAAGCATATACATTAAAAGACAGAACAGGCCAATTAAACTCAATGAAAGTCTTCTTGTATAATTAGCATCATGGAGAACATAAAAGTATTTCATGAACTTCTTCTATCCTTTCTTGTGACGGATTTGGAGTAATGAGAAGTACAAAAGCATCGAACAAACCTCTTAGATACTGCTAATGTATACAAACCAGCAACAACAAGAGTGCTAATTTTAACACAGAGAAAGAGGCTAACGGGGCGAAATAGAGCAAAAAAGGATTCATATTAGTCACACTAAGAGATAAACAAGATATCCCATGAAAACACTTTCGACTAAACCTATGAACTCCCTCAACTACATTACTGCCCTGCGTCGCTGCTGTGATTCTCACCTGCATCAGCATCTGCATTTGAGCTACTTTGGACACAAGTATTCACCGATGAACCAGGACCCAGCAACAAAGGCGTAGGGGTTTCTTTCTTTTCAGTACTGGGATTTGAATCAACTGTTCGGTTAGCAGCCCATGCTCTTAGAGGAGGTTCAAAATGCTGGCTGGCAACATCTGGTGGCAGTGCATCTTCCCCAGGAAGAACAAGAAGCCCCTTCTCTCGAAGAGAAGATGGCTCTTTATAGCACGCATTCCAAAGGGAGTCCACAAGCTGCCTCTCCTCCTTAGCGGCTCCAAGATCCTCCGGCGACATCAAGCTGATACCAGTAATCCGTTCTTGAAGAATTTGCTTCAGTTTCTCATCTTCATCACCCAAACTACTACCGTTTGTTGTCCCACCAGGCCTGTCCCGAGCAAGCTCAAGAAGCCCCCGAAGTGCAGCTTCTCGTACCTCCGCATCTTCACTCGAGGCAAGGTGCATCATAATGCGAGGAAATCCTAGTTCAGTTACTACGTAGCAATCTGACCAGTTTTCGTGCAGTAAGTAATGGATTAAGTTAAGGGCTTTCCTGCAAGATAACTAACTTGGTAAGGAATTTGAAAGGTCAATAAAACTATAGACATCCAAGATTGAAACACGCGCTGTTTCAAAACGTAATCAAGACTATATTTTAGCACAATTCAGATTTATTTAATAATCTAATCCATCTAAAAAATCAAGACAAATAGCACCAGAATTGGTCGATTGCTAGACGGGGTTACCTTTGAAATCTCACATTCTCAGAACTCAAAGCATCTCTCAGACCAGCATAACCATTTGCAAGACGAAACGCAGCAATTCCTGGCTTGTTATGCCTGATTAAAGCTGAAAGCCACACCATAATTAGAAATTTCTCAAATCTATCAACCAGAACTTGCTGGCTAAACGATGCAGGAGAGTCCCCAAACAGTACAGAAGCATTTCTGAAGTTAACCTAGATCAAAATAACCATGTAACAAGAGAGAAATACTCACAGGATATTGCTCCAAGTGCTTTGGTTCGAGCAGTAACATCAGGATCTGAAGTGAAATTAGAAAGCAGAGGTTCCAAGCCATTTGCATCCATTACCAGTTGTTGACTCCTAGGGTTGTTCTGAACAATTGTGGTCACAACGTCTGCAGCCTTTGCTCGAATGTTAGCATGGGAGTTCTTAAGGTAACCAAGGAGAGGAACCAAACCACCAATTGAGTGAAGATCTGTAAGATGTAAATAGTCAGCCAAAGCAGCAACAGTTTCTTATAGATGCATAAACCCCTTGATTTATTACAACCTAGAGCAACTACGCATTTTTTAACCTTTTCACTGGATACTTCAGACTTCTGTACAGTAAATTAATTTTGAAAGCGAAATTGCCATCTATCAAATGAATTAAACCAAGGTGGGACCTCGAAGTCATGGGATGTAACTATATGTAAATTCAAACGAGTTGTAAGACCATGCCCTACATAAAATTATCAAAATCAGATGAAAAGTAATTAAGAAACCTACAACACCAGCAGTTAAAGCATTTTCAAGATTCACAACCCAAGAATATCTAACAACAATTTTTTTCCTTTCTTACGAGAAAGGGTAGAACCAAAGAAAAGTGTAGTGTAAATGTGTAATTGGATTCATCAAGAGGAGTATGCAGCACAAGTGATCCTGTTAACCTATGTTTCATGGACTCTTCAAAATGTGTGAAGTATTCATGTTGGACATTTGATACTTGGGTAAGGCCATAAGGTATGAGGATGTTTTCGAATGTGTAGACACATACTTGCCCACAACACCCATACCTGAGTCCATGACACTAGAAAAAGTACAATTTAAACATGACTCTATTCTAAATACCTTGGATTGACAACAATAGTACATGCAACTAAAACCTACACAACCTTGAAACAACCAAAGTGAAACAAAAAAAAAGGAAGAAATTTTAAGGAGTCCACATGAATCCTGCTACAGTTGGATTCCAAGGGATGATAATTTTCTCTGTCAACCATCTATGAGCATCATGAAGATATTGTAAGTATTAATAATATATGTAACCATAATAATAATACGGAATTAAACTTAATAGGATCTTGAATTCAATACAACTCAGAATAAAATGAACATACCTTTGTCAGCCAGTGAATTAGAGAAGTTGAGAAAATACCCCTAATAGTTGAACCTTGAATTCTTGGCTCACATTCTTCTCTCTGTCTCTCTTAATTAGGATGACTATAAAACTTAAAGTGATGGAAAAATACTCATGATATGAAAGGGGGGTCACTCATCCTTATATAGAGGAGAGAAGGGGGCCAAATAAACTCTATCAAAAGAATTTCTAATCCATCAAGGTTTCTTTCTTATCTTAGAAGAGTGATTATATTAAAATTCTAATTATTGAACTTTATATATAATATTGGCTTTATCTAATTGTGGAGTCCAAATAAAATAAAACATGTAAAAATATGTAGGCTATTGGGCCACATTAGAAAATAAATCCAACATTCTCCCACTTTGCCCATTAAACCGATTATGATGCAATTATGAGTTTTTTCAAAAAAATATGCAACTTATAAAAAATTTTGACTCATTGGATTCCACACTAAAAACTTTGACACATGATCACGAATTTTAAAAATAGCCAATAAGTTCAGATATATTAAAAACTATAATACTGTGATTACTTCATATCACCAATGTAAGTCATAGCGATTATATAACATTTATGTCATATTTCCTTCTATGCACTACACCATTGATAACCTTCACCAACCCAATCATTTATCGGGATATATAATTATTTTCTTGAAAGGCTCCTGTAATTTGTCTTGTTAAGGCATTCCCTGTTTATCAAAATTTAAATTAATGTGTACACACTTTTAGAAACAGGAAAAATAGAAACAAAATTATTATTGCGCAAATAGTGTTAAATAAAAATAAGCGCTCACGATTAATCATACACATCAAGGGTTGCTTAAAAGACCCATCCTGATAACATGTTCTTTGTATGTCTTTGGTGGCAATCCCTTTGTGAATGGATCAGCAATCATAAGAGAGGTGCTTAAGTTTTCAATTAACACTGGTTGTTTCTGGACTCTTTCTCTAACGACTAAGTACTTTACTTCCATGTGTTTGGAACCACTAGAGTACTTTCCATTCTTAGAGAAGAAAACTGCTGCAGTATTGTCACAATATATATTCAGTGGCCTGGCAATTGAGTCAACAACACCAAGTCCTGAGATGAAATTTCGCAACCATAAAGCATGATTTGTAGTTTCAAAGCATATGGAATGTCCTTCATTTGTTTTCTTTCCAAGTCATTCCTTGGACACTGATTTTCACTTAATTTATCACCCTTCATAATGGGTGCATCACCAGCTGAACAAAATTGCATATTGAATCTCTCCAAAACACGATCAATATATCCTTTTTGAGATAGTCCTAGCAATCCTCGAGATCGATCCCTAAAGATCTCTATGCCAATAACATAGTTTGCCTCGCCCATATCGACCATTTTAAAGTTCTTGGAGAGATATTCCTTGGTTTCATGCAACAAGCCAAGGTCATTACTAGCTAACAAAATGTCATCCACATATAGCACCAAAATAATGAACTTGCTCCCACTAACCTTCAGATATATGCACTGATCAACTGCATTTTCCTTAAATCCAAAAGAGATAATAGTATCATTAAACCTTATATACCATTGCTTGGAAGCTTGTTTAAAGCCATATATGGATTTCTTTAATTTGCAAGCTAAACGTTCTTTACCTTTCTTTGCAAATCCTTCTGACTATTCCATATAAATTTATTCATCCAAATTCCCATTTAAAAAAGCAATTTTCACATCCATTTGATGCAACTCTAAGTCATAATAAGCTACCAATGCTAGGATGATTTTAAGCGAGTCCTTCTTAGATACTGGAGAGATCTCTGTATAGTCTATGCCTTTTTTTTGAGTAAAACCCTTGGCAACAAGTCTGGCTTTAAATCGTTCGATATTGCCTTTTGCGTCACGCTTGGTCTTGAAGACCCATTTACACCGACCTTTTGGCAGTTATTAGGCAATTCGACGAGATCCCAAACACTATTCTGTTCCGTGGATTTTAACTCTTCATTTATAGCATTGACCCATTTAGAAAAATCATCACTATTCATGGCTTGTGAAAATGAGACTGGATCTTTGTTAATCCCAATATCAAAATCAGATTCCTGTAGATACACCATGTAATCATCTGGAATGACAGTCTTTCTTTCCCTCTGAGATCTTCTCAGAACTGCCGGTTGTGGTGGTTCTACAATATTTTCAAAGGTGGTATCTTCATGAGGTGGTGAAACATGAGATGGTAAAAGATTTTCATTATGTTGTTCGTTTCCCTCAACCTATGGAAAAGTCTGAGGTACAATAATTTTTTTAATAAGGGTCAAATGTTGGGACATCCACCCTAATTTCCTCGAAATTCACCACTCGTGTTTTCTCACTCCCACTAATTTCACCATTCTCTAGGAATCTAGCATTACCAGTCTCCACTATCCTCGTACTGTGATTAGGACAATAGAATTTGTATCCTTTAGACTTGTCAGGATAACCAATGAAATATCCAGATATTGTTCTTGAGTCCAACTTTTTCTCTTGTGGGTTGAAGATTCTTGCCTCTGCTGGACAACCCTAAATATGTAAGTGTCTCAAACTAAGTTTCCTACCAGTCCACAACTCAAAAGGAGTTGTTGGGACCGCCTTACTAGGAACCTATTTAAAATATACATTGTAGTCTTTAAAGCTTCACCCCACATTGAAATAGGTACAATTGAGTAACTTAACATACTCCTAATCATATCTTTAAGTGTACGATTACGCCTTTCAGCAACTCTATTTTGCTGTGGCGTACCAGGCATTGTATATTGAGCACAATGCCTTTCTTTTCTAAGAATTTGGCAAATGGGCCAGGATTTTGGCTTGACTCATCATATTTACCATAATACTCACCACCCCTGTCTGATCTCACTATTTTAATCTTTCTATCTAGTTGTGCCTCGACTTCAGTTATGTACACCTCAACGATGTCAACAGCTTGAAACTTTTCATGAATTAGATATACATATCCATAACGTGAGAAGTCATCTATAACTTGAGTCCAACTTTTTTTCTTGTGGGTTGAAGATTCTTGCCTCTGCTAGACAACCCCAAATATGTAAGTGTCTCAAACTAGGTTTCCTACCAATCCACAACTCAAAAGGAGTTGTTGGGACCGCCTTACTAGGAACCTATTTAAGATATACATTGTAGTCTTTAAAGCTTCACCCCACATTGAAATAGGTACAATTGAATAACTTAACATACTCCTAACCATATCTTTAAGTGTACGATTACGCCTTTCAACAACTCTATTTTGCTGTGGCGTACCAGGCATTGTATATTGAGCACAAATGCCTTTCTTTTCTAAGAATTTGGCAAATGGGCCAGGATTTTAGCTTGACTCATCATATTTACCATAATACTCACCACCCCTTTCTGATCTCACTATTTTAATCTTTCTATCTAGTTGTGTCTCGACTTCAGTTATGTACACCCAAGGTTCTAAATATCGGCCGGTACGTGCCGTATCGGCCGATTCGTAATGGAAAATGAGAGTGCCGAGTCGGATACTCACCGATATACCGGTGAGAACGAATTTCACGTCCGTAGCGGCCGATTCCCGACACGTATCGGCTTGTATCCGATACGTGAGCGTTCCAATTCCGATATAGTCCGATTCGACTGAAAAACGAGCAAAGCATATGGAAAAATAATTGAGGAAAGCAAGTCACATGGAAAAACAAATCACCTGGAGAAGCATCAAATCAGACCAAACCTCAAACCCAAATCAAACCCAATCGTATCAAACTCAACTCAACTCCCCAAAGTTTTCCCTCAATCGGACCAAACTCAACTCCCCAATCAAACCCAAATCCATCTTCCAAGGGCATCGATCTTGTAAAGTGTTGCAAGGAGAAGCATCGAATCGAACCCAAACCATCACCGATTTCAAGTTCCTTCATTGAAGGTTTTTCTCTCATGCTCTGTTTACACTGGTGTGAGTGCTCTGCTTTTTACTTTGGCTGAACACTTCAAATGGTTTTGCTTTTGATAGGCTTGTTTATATTATACTATGTTATATTATATTATTTTATGGGTTTGCTCCGGTTTGCTTTGTTTGGTTTGTTTATGTTATATTATGTTATTTTTTTTCTTCTTCAAATGGTTTGTTTATATTATATTATGTTATTCTTTTCTTTATGGTTATTTTTTTATTTATATTATGGTATGGGATGGTTTTGCTTGGTAAGTTGCGTTTGGTTTGTTTATAATTTATTGAAACTAAATTCCTAGAAATTGAAGGAACATAAAAAGTGTCTTCTAGATCCATCTGATGAACCCGTCTCTAAGATCAGTCAGTAGGTTCCTACAGCTACGACTTCAGCTTTGAGACGATTCCCCATATAGACAAATCTTTCACTTTCCTTCGGTTTCCTGATTAAGAGGTATCCCTACATGTCATTTGTAATGTGGATCATGGCCCCAGAGTCAATCCACCAAGTATTAGAAGATACTTCAGCAAGATTTGATTCATAACAAACAAAAGAAAATTTCTTACATTTCTTTTCGAGCCAAGCCTTTCGCTTGCTGCAGTCTTTCTTCACATGTCCCTTCTTGCCACAAAGTAGCACTTGACAGTGAAACCATTCTGAGCCTGATTTTCTTCCCCAGGTTCATTCTTTTTCTTTGGTGGATTTTTCTTTGATTTTACAAACTTACCCATATTTTTCTTTATAGCTCCATGTGTTACAACCAATGCAGATTGACGTCCTTCCTCCCTCAACCTCACTTCCTCCTGAACACACATATTAGTCAGCTCATTCAAACTCCACTTATCTTTATTGGTGTTATATTGAATTTTGAATGCACCGAACTGTGATAGAAGTGAGTTGAGAATAAACTGCACGAGAAAAGTTTCATCAACCTGCATCCCTAAAGTTTTAAGTTTTGCAACTTTGTCGCCATATTGAGGATGTGATTCTAAACTCCTCGGTGGCCATTATATTTCATTATTGTTAATTCAATCATAATAGTGCCAGCAAGTGGCTTGTCAATCTTCAACAGCCTTTAACCAAATTTTACTTTAAGCATTAGGGTAACATCACTAAAGAGTCCTTTGGTCAATAACCAAGTAAGATCCCAGGAAGGTCGAAGGAGTCAATATAGCCTCCCTTCTAAGTCCAACCACCTTAGATAGCAAGCTATCTTTTTGACAAATCTTAAGAGGTATTAACACAAGATCTCATAAGTAACACGGAAAAAGGCATAAACAATATACATGTTAAAGCTTTGAGAATTATGATGAACTATTGATATCACATAAGTCTTTCCTTTGGGCAAAACTTAGGTATATCTATTGTCCACTCATCAAGAATCACTTATATAGATCTAAAATAATTTATGCAATTTTTCAGCTAGTCATGTTACCTTTGGGTATTCAATTCTAATCTGTCAAACTACATAAGTTACATTATCCTACCCAGTTTATAATTATTTGAAAGTGACTCTCCTTTTGGCTAGTCTCAATCTCCTAATTATAGCTGCAATTGAGAATATTATCAACCTTAATGTTACCCTTTTAACAATTCTTTTATGTAAGTCTATATTCATAAATTTTACAAATTTAGGCCACTTTGGCAACTACTAAATTAGTAAACCCTATGAATACGGAACTAACCAACAATATTCTTTATTCATTAATTTCAGTTATTTAATTATCATTAATTCAATCACTATTAGAATTTCTTTTATGTGATTGCAATTACCACTATGATAATAATAATAACTCTAGACAAACATGAATATATAGATATATATATATATAAAATATGACAATCATGAATATCTCATATAATGGCCAATAAGAATTACACCTAATATAAATTAACCACTTCAATATTTAATAGTTAATATCATAAAATTATATCATGATATCAATTTTAGATCATGAAAATATATAAATATTAATAATAAAGTATACATAATCAGACAAGATAAAACCATAATTCTTTGACGTAATACAATCAAATATTTATTTAATAGACTGAATAATTCAACAAATTCTAAAATCACTTTTAATCCGATAATTTGTAATCAATTTTTGCTGTACCAAGTCAACCAAAATTGGTAGCAAAATCAATTGGATTGTGCAATGACTAAGTAACGGCCTGAGTCAAATTTTTTGATCGTTGCTTGTTTTAAAAAAAAAAACTTGTCCAATTCTCTAATAAGAAGGCAAGGTTTTAACTTTAAATTTAACCAACCAACCAACCAACCTATGTGGCAAAGGACTATTATCATGCACATTTTAAAGTCATGGCTATGTATATGCTTATTGTAAAGGGTTATGGAGAGCATGTTAATAGCATAACAAAAATCAAAAAGGTGTTTTACACGTTTGATCAATACAAACAAATTGAAATAATATTTTAAAGTCAATACTTTTAATAAAACAAAGGTACCGTTTATTAATAACAGTATCATAAATATATTATTATTCCAATGTGTACTGATTCACAAAACTAAAACTTTGATACCACATGTTAATATTAATAATATATGTAACCATAATAATAATGCGGAATTAAACTTAACAGGATCTTAAATTCAATACAACTCAAGAATAAAACGAACATACCTTTGTCAGCCATTGAATTAGAATAAAACGAACATACCTTTGTCAGCCATTGAATTAGAGAAGTTGAGAAAATACCCTTAATAGTCGAACCTTGAATTCTTGGCTCACATTCTTCTTTCTGTCTCTCTTAATTATGATGACTATAAAACTTAAAGTGATGGAAAAATACTCATGATATGAAAGGGGAGTCACCCATCCTTATATAGAGGAGAGAAGAGGGCCAAATAAACTCTATCAGAAGAATTCATAATCCATCAAGGTTTCCTTCTTATCTTAGAAGAGTGATTATATTAAAATTCTAATTACTGAACTTTATATATAATATTGGCTTTATCTAATTGTGAAGTCAAAATAAAATAAAACATGTAAAAATATGTAGGCTATTGGGCCACACTAGAAAATAAATCCAACAGATATCACTAGAGAAGTGGGAGAAATAAAATTACGACACAATGATGCAAAAAATGACATTTGTGCACTTCAGAACTCCTTCAATATGAAATGCAACATGCAAATCAAAATCCCATACAATATAAATAACACATAACATATACCAATCAACGAGAGAGAGAGAGAGAGAGAGAGATTTACATATTCCTAATCCAGAATTCCATGTTAATTTTTAAAAAAGCATAAAACAAAACAAAATAAAATAACTTACCATTAGCCATGTCAATTGCCTCAACGTGCTCCTGCAGCTCATCCAACATATCTGCAAGAATACAAGGTCAGTAAGCAAATAATAAAGTTAATATGTTATAAGGTCAAGATTTCTTTTACCCACACACAAGATTCAAAATCCAAGACTAATTCTTATAATACCTTCAATATCTGCAGCAGTAACTCCTTGTGACTCCAGGACTTGCTCAGGAGTTTGCATAACAAGAGTTATATCTTTCATCCTCTTAATAACATCCACAGTTTGTGCTTGCATAGCTTCCATGAACCATCTTCGGTCCTCCTCACTAAACAAGCACACAAAATACACACACACACACACACACAAAAATAAAAAAATTACTGCCAATTTGTTGAAAAGAAAAAACCGTTTCACAGGAAAAATGTGAATTTATAGTGCTTTTCAATATGGATTTTTTGGGATAATTTCAAAATCTCCCTAACGCTTTGGTTGGGGTATTTGGGAAACACTTTTTCCCTTTTCCTTTCCAAATCTCTTCCTAAATCCCAACCAAACACAAACACAGCGTAAAGCAAATTGTTTGTTTGTTCCATGGTGACTAGGTCATGTACTGGCTATTATAACTACAAAACTGAAAGCCTGATTTCCAAAATCCAAACTTTACCAAAGAGAACAACTCAGCTATAAAAACCCAACTCTGACTTGTAGAATAAGAACATAACAACACTTAAAAGCGGGCCAAGACATTTTTTTATTTCTTTTCTGTTCTCTCCAAATCACACAATCCAAACAGGCTGATAAAAAGAGAGAGAGAAAGAGAGAGTACCTTAAATTTGGAGGAGGACGAGTGCCATCAGAGTGAGCGAGGCTCCACTTGAGCAATCCATCCCAATTGGGTCCTTCTTGTGCCATTTTTTCAGATTGGAGAAAGAGGGGGAAAAAAAGGAGAAAAAAAAAGCCCTAATGTATAGAAGAGTGATTATTGATTCTGCAAAGAGGAAGAAAGTAGAGAATGGTAGAGCAATGGCGGGTTACATATATTATAAACAGAACCGATCTGTTTGGAAAGGACTCGAAGCTTCAGGAACTTACGTGAAGGTCCAGACGAGAGAGACACGCCTCAGCTCGGCAGTCACCACACAAATATTGCTCTCGTCTCGTCATGGGCCTCTCTGTCGGGGCACGGGTTTGATTCGGATTCTGAAAAGTTTATCGAATCAGCTCAGCTCAACTTATGGGTTGGTTTGGACAGTGGTTGAATTTTTGTCTTTTTAATTTTTTTGACTATTTTAATTGCGTTAAAAAGTTTAGTTTAGGAAGAATTTTTTAATTTTTTGACTTTTTTGACTTTTTGTATGAGAGAAGAGTGTAATGATTATGGGTTAGATATAATGTTTTGTTTGTTGTGGTTAAAATAGCCTATTTTGTCTTTTGTGACTATTTTAGTCCCAAATTACCTTTCCAAACTGACCTGTGTGTTTTTTTTTTATTTATACATTTTGATTTGAGTAAATTACAATATAAAGGGTTTGTTTGAGATGTGTTATATAAATATATTATTTTTATCACATTATTTCTTTATTTTTGGGGAATTTTTTTTTAAGATCTCTAGTATTAAGATTTTATAGCATAAATGACACTCAATATTTTTATAATGTCTAAAGTTCTTCAACTTCGATCTTGAGAATTTCTCTAGACACATTATAGAGAAAATTCCAAATATGACAAAGAAAATTAAAATTTCACTGGATTTAAACTCTTTTAACATATATTGCAAACAAGTCAGAACAGCCACCCGCCGCCACCCACCACCACCCACTCGCTACCACCCGCCACCGTCACCCACCCACCACCACCACCCACCCACCACCACCAGCTACCCACTACCCACCGTCACCACTTGCCACCACCGTCTTCCGCCGCCACTTGCCACCATTTGCCATTTCTCACTCTTTTTTATATTTTTAAATTTTTTTAAACATATTGTTAATTACCAAACGCGTTTATAGTTTATATTTTTCAAAAAATAAACAAAAATCAGTTTATAAAATTTTTGTAAATATAAACTGAAAACGTAAACGTTACCAAACACACCCTAAACATCTATAATCTCATGATAAGCTTAAAATTTACTTAAAACCAAACCATTGCACATCAGGGTTGGTGAGCATTGAAACCAAGAAATATACACAAACAAACTATAAATTTCCAAATCAGAGAAATTCAATCCATACCAGAGGATTTCTCTGGTTTAAACCAGAAAAATTTGGTAGGGGTTGAAAAGAAATAATCAAACACTTGGAGCGCATAAACGTGGATTGAACATTTCAATCAGAGAAAATTAAATAACCAAAGAAAAATTCAATCTAGAGATAATTGAACAAACAGAGAAAAGTTCAATTTAAAGAAAATTGAACAACCAGAGAAAATTAATTTTTTGTCTTTTATTTAATTTTTTCTGGCTTGATAAAAAACACAAATTTTCTCTACACAATTTTCTCTAGATAGAGCCATACAAATTTTTTCTAACACAATTTTCTCTGAATAGAGCCACAAAAATCTTCTCTACACAATTTTCTCTGGATAGAGCCACACGAAGCCACACAAATTTTCTTTACACAATTTGTTGCTAATGTGAGTCACTAAAATCAGCATTTCCCTCAAACATTAAGGTGAAATCCACTTCTACAATGAAGTAGAGGAACTAACCTACTATTTGTAGTTCTATTTAATAAGCCAACTATACTCTTAAGTTGATTCTTGTCTGTTTAAGAGTGATCCCCTGATGATTGATCTATTATCTTTAAGTAGAAAAAATCTCTCTATTGCCAATAAATGCTTCGGTAAGGTATTTTTTGTTATTTTGTAAATAATGTAAAATTAAAGACGTCATTGTAGAATGCATATTTTCTTTTATAAAGGTACCCATTTAGTGGATATTAATTACCAAGAGGAAGGTCGGGGTTGACTTTCAAAGCATTTTCAGTATATTTGGTAATCTTCATGTTAGCTAATTTTGGTTGGATCAATTTGTAAGTTATATACCTAGTATAACATTGCAAGCATATAGATTGGGGTCAAAGATATCTCTATTGGTATGCTAGCTGCTTTGTACATACTTCTATGAATTTGTATGAGAGATAGAGAATTGAACAAGAAGAAGAGAAGAAGACTGTATAGACCGAGATAAAAAAAAATTGAAGACAACAAGGTTTTATGGGCTTATCAGGTAGTGAGGAGCTTGCAATTATCAAAGACCATTATCAAAGATCTATACCAACTATACATAAGTTTCATAGCTCACACTAGATTCAGATTCATTCTCTGGTTTCTTCAGACTGGATTCTTTCTAGATTTCTTTGGTACTCAGAGAAATTTTAATTTTCTCTGGGAAATTCCTAGAGAAATTCTCTGGAGGATTTCTCTGGGCAAAGAATTTCTCTAGGAAAGGCAAAGAAGGGTTGAGAAAAACATACACGGGGCTTTCATTAATATCCATCAAAGCTTTGTGTATCTGCATATCTGCTTCTTGGGCTTTCACTTCCAGTTGATTACCATCCCAATATATAGAAATTGAGAAATACTTTCTTGTAAAGTTCTTGATTTTTCTTGAGGAAGAGTCGATCGAGAGAATGGGTAGAAGGATTGAAGTGGAGCTCGAAGCTGTTGAAGATCTCGATTGTGCGTCCCCTCTAGACACCGATGATGTAGCCAAAGACCTTCGGCGAGGGAAACGAAGTGGTTGCTTCGCCACCGTTGGCAGCAGCGTGAGGTGGTTATGATTGGAACTTAGGACAAGTGTAGTGATCAGAGATGTTGACGATTACGAGTGGATGAAGCTTGAATGTCAGTCCACTGCTTGATAACGATGCCATTCTTCTCTCTCCTACCTCCGATGATCAGATTAGATCAGGTCGACTTCACTCTGCTTTTTTTATGGGTGATTGATTCCCAGTATATAGAAATTGGGAAATATTTTATGAATATCAAATTTCTCTGTGATAGATGCATGTGGGTTGAGGGACCTTAAATATCAAAAAATAATATTGTGAATTTATTCCATGACTAAAAATGATAGAGAGATCTTAGACTAATTTTTCTTTATTTTTTTTGTATATATTTTCATAAAAAAATTCTATGATGCAATTAAAAAAAAATATATATAGTGAGCTCTCATTTAATAATAGTAATAAAAATGATTTTTTTTTTTAAAAGTGAAATTTGATAGTCCTGTACTCCTGATAGTTATTATTGGCCCTGTTTAGTAGAACTGTGGGAAAGTGCTTATAGCTTATAACTATGAATATAAGCTGATTTCTAACTTATAAATTAAGCTTCTCCTGTTCCACTCAAAGAATAAGCTGATTTCTGACTTACAAAAAGTTATAAGCTGCATTGTTAAACTAAACCAAACACATCAAAATAGCTTAAATTAAACTGAAAATTGAAATAAGTTGAAAAAAAATTGTACTAAACAGGGCATTGTTATCTATCTTTATTTCTCATTCTCTCCCTTACAAATAAACATATTTTCTTTCCCAAAAAAAAACCTTTCTGTGCACAAAAGCATTTATTACTTGCAATCACATGGGTATGGTTATTGTGTTTGGAAGGTTACTTAAAATTTTATTCTATTTTTTTGGAATAAAAAATTAATATACTAACATTTAACTTTTTTAAACAGATGACAAAATAAACTTATGGGAAAATTAGGAATTTTAGTACAAAATTAATAATTTTGCCTAGTTAATAATGAATATAACTACCTGCAATAGATTATAGAGGTGTAAGTGTAATGCAAATTTAAAGAGGGAAGTGGGGTGAAAGATGAAATTATATCAAAATTGGGAAAACATTGTATTTTAAAGAAAAGTTGAGTTATGATTCCCTCCTTACAAGTCTATTGAGCTCACTTTTAAGCCCAATTTTAATAATTCGAATCGTTCATATTTTAAAATTTGTTCAGTATATCATACCTGTAAAAAATCAAGTTGATCGGATATCAGAAAGTATGTGTTCGGAAAACTCGAACTAAAAATTATTTTTTTAAAGAATTTAATAAACAGTTTTCCGAACACATACTTTCTGATATCTGATCAATTTAATTTTTTATAAATACAATATACTGAATAAATTTTAAAATATGAACAATTTAACTTATCAAAATTGAACTTAAAAATGGACCAATAAACTTGCCAGTAGAAATAATAATGAGAAAATGGAAGGAGGGATCTTCATTCTCGCCAACTTGGCTCAGACAGACCGCTGACCCCAGCCTGCAACGCAGTTACCGAATACCCCAATAACATCTTGCCACGTGTAAAATACAACTGTTACGGTTCGAACTTTAGCCGAGAAAACCGTTCGATCAAGCCACTGACGACTCGGTGTTGCCGTTAAAAGTGTCATCCCCCAAAGCTTCAAAAACTCTCTCTCTCTCCCTCCCAATTCTTTCTCTCTCCAATTTCCAAACCACAATCTTCATGTTGCCCAGCTAATTAGGGTTTTATCGGATTCAAAATACCTAATTCATGAGCATTGAATCAATGTTCTTGCTTTCCCATGGACGAAAATGATTCAAAGTTGTAATTTTTTTGGGTCAAATTGAAGAAATTTAGGGTTTTCTTGAAGTTGGGTTCGATAATGGAGTCATCTGGATCGTCGTATTGGTGTTACAGATGCAACAATTTTGTTAGGGTTCAGACACAGGACACAATTCTCTGTCCCGATTGCGGAAGTGGATTCTTGGAAGAAATCGATCCCCGCCGTCAATCTCGTCATGATTCAGTTCCGAGAGTCCGCCGCCACTGGAGGAATGGAGGCGGCGAACGGTCCTCTTTCAATCCCGTTATTGTCCTCCGCGGCGGCGAAGCTGGTGGAGAAAGGGGTAGTTACGAATTGTATTATGATGATGGAACTGGTTTGGGTATTAGGCCCTTACCAGCAAGCATGTCTGAGTTTTTGATGGGTTCAGGGTTTGATCGTCTTCTCGATCAATTGACCCATCTTGAAATCAATGGGATTGGGAGGTTTGATCACTCTCCTGCTTCAAAAGCTTCGATTGAGTCGTTACCCACAATCAAGATTGGTTCTAGCCATGTGGTGATCGATTCACATTGTGCAGTTTGTAAAGAACCTTTCGAAATCGACACCGAGGCTCGTGAAATGCCGTGTAATCACATTTACCATTCGGATTGTATTCTACCATGGCTTTCCATTCGGAATTCTTGCCCTGTTTGCCGCCATGAATTGGCTGCAGATGCACCAGTAACCGAGAATTTGATGGGTTCGAATGAGGAAGATTCGGTTGGGTTGACTATATGGAGATTACCTGGTGGTGGGTTTGCTGTTGGGAGATTCACAGGTGGTAGGTTAGCTGCTGAACGCGAGCTCCCCGTTGTGTACACGGAGATGGATGGTGGTTTCAATGCTGGTGGTGCACCGAGGAGGATTGCATGGGCAGCCAATGAAAACGGAGAAAGGGAGAGGAGTGGAGTGAGTCAAGCTGTTCGTGGTTTCTTCTCATTCTTTAGGAGGTTTAGATTTGCATCATCTCGTTTTAGACTTGAAATTGGGTTTAGGCGAAGTCGTTCCCATTCCATTGTCGATTATAGGCCACCGAGGAGGCACACTCACCGTTGAGCTTTTGATGACAGCAGAGAGTAACAAGAAGGTGATTGTCAAGGGAGGAAGAGCCCGGAAATTGTCTTGTCTGTGTGCTGCATATACACATTGGAAAGAAATATTTGGAGACATTTCTGCAATTTTAATTTTTTGTTGAGTAGATAAGAATTTGCTAGAAGATTCTTGTTTGTCCATGACAAAGAAGAAAGAGGGTTGTGCACATAGAGGTGCCCTTCAGATATTATGAAGGTAATGGCCCTAGTGTACTGTTGTGCCTGCTTCAATGTTAAAGACTAGTTATATTCCATTACTAAATTTTTCAGTATACTGAATTCTAAATCTTAATTAATTTTGCCCTTTCTTATAACTTGTTTAGATCTTAATAAATTTGTTTTGGTTGTTTTCATTCCATGTCTCTGCCATGGTGATATTATTGCTTGGTGGCTGTGTTCAATGCACAACACCAATCTTTCATAATTGTTGGTGCTAGGTTTGTTTTGGTTTTCTCTACCATTTGAGTGGCTTTTCGATGAGGAACTTCTAACATTGAGCACAAAAATTGTTAACTTGTTGATTATTTTGAATCGTAGGTGTCTAATGTAAGTTTTTCTCTGGGCAACTGACTTTTGTCTCTTATAGTGGTGTCTCACTAACCCATGTTTAAGAGTTGCTGGCCTACATGTTTGGGGATATTTCCTTTTCTTTTCTTTCAACCATGTGATCGGCTTCTTGAAACAAAGTTGTCTAGTTGATCACTTAACTATGAAAACTCTATAGTTTGGGGATGTGTCCTTTTCTTGTCCTTTTTAACCATGTGATTGGCTTTTTGAAACAAAGCTGTCTTAATCGATCGCTAATCTTTCATTAGTCAGGAATTTATAGTTGGCAATGGAGCCATGGCCATCCATTCGAGAGTACGTGTACCATCCACGCCTCCAAGCACAAATTAGTTATCTTGGATATGTGATCCAAATGTGAGATATCAATATGTTCTTGTTTATTTAGATGCATTGAAAACTAAGAACATACACTTGTAGGAAGGTGTTACATCCATGTCAGACACTCCCAACACATATCATATACATGTCCAAATGTGTCTTATTATAATTATTAGCTTGAATGGTATACTTTTAATGCACCAGACACTGTTGTAATTGTTTTTTTTCCTTTTTCTCTCTACTCTGATGTCAAGAAGTTAGGACATAAAAGTGCTTGATTTCTCATTTTTTCTTTATCAACCTTGTCATTAATTGATTGGAAATTTGCGTTTACCTCCAAGCACTAACAATGTTGAAACCCATAGATTCGATTAGCTTCCAAGAAGAGCCTACTGCTTCTTCTGATTGTAAACCTGGAAAACAAAATGTAGGAACTATATTTCTTTGGGATAGATTTTTAGATATTGTGTTTTCTTGTTTTAGAAATCAAACTTTGAGAGTTATTTTGAGTAATGATGGTCATATTATCCAAACTGTTGTTCTTAGGTGGGGGAGAGCCCATTTTGAAAATAATGTGGAATTTCATGGTCAGATATGAGAGAAGCAAGTTGGTTTTGGGCTGAATGGTAGGTGGGGCCATCCTTATCTATAGAAAAACACAAGACTCTTGAGTTGTGATGTGGCCTTATCCAGTAATATTATGATGCATATCTATGGACAATATTGATTCCTAGACGGGACCATAGAAAATCTGCAACTGTGTCATCTCTACTTCCAAAGAGACTAAACTAATTGGCAGTTCAAAAAATGGCTTCAATTGCTTCTCTTCAGACTCTATCCTCAGTGCATTCACAAAAGCAAGCAGCTTGGTATCCATCTCTCTCCAGCTTCTCAACTGGGTCGACAACATTGGGTTCGAAAGTTGCATCTTGGAAAAGGAATGAGAAAAAGAACAAGAACAGAGCTTTGACGGTGGTCTCTGCAGTTGGAGATGTATCGGCTGATGGCACATCCTATCTGATTGCCGGTGCAGTTGCAGTGGCATTGGTCGGAACTGCCTTCCCTATCCTCTTCTCCCGCAAGGACTTGTAATTTTTATTCTCTCTTTATTAACTCTCTTTCCGATATTTGTAAATATTTTATGAAGTGCCAACTGTTGCGTGCTTCTTGTTGTAGATGCCCTGAATGCGACGGTGCAGGTTTTGTTAGGCGATCTGGTGTTACCCTGAGGGCAAATGCAGCTCGGAAAGACCAGACTCAGATTGTATGTGCTCGTTGCAACGGTCTTGGCAAGCTCAACCAAATAGATAAATAGATCGACTTTTGTAACCTTAAAACTCTTTCTTGGTATATGAAATCTGGGGACTCCAATGTGAACTTTTGTTTGAATTGTGTCTCCTTTGATGATGAGCATCATGCTTGATTCTTGTTATCTCTTTTGATGGCAGGGGCATCATGCTTGATTCTTTTTGAGTATTTAATGAATGCTTTATTTGTTATAGTTGTTTTATTGTAACATGACTTGCTTGTGTTAATGTGATCCTCTGGAAAAAATGATTCCTAGCTATTCATCTGCAAGTACGAGTTGATAGCCAAAAAATGCTTTTTATTTGCTTAAGAGGGCTGGTATATATGACCTTTTCTATTTGGGGATATATATGTTTTAAAAATTAATTACATATGAGTGATAAATTTTACAAATATTAATAAATAAAGTCTTTAAATTTTTGTATGAATATGAGTAATAATTTTGTGAAAGTACCACTGAGTAGTAATTTTCTGTTTTTATATCATCAAACTTTTCACTTCCTATGTAGTTTCTTATATGAAGAGTGATGGAGACCCCCTCCAATCACCACCCCCATCACCCCCACACACATGTAGTAGGTGGTGATTAGAGGATAAGGAAAACAACAAAAAAAAGAAAAAGAAAATCCAACCAATAAAAGAGAGAGGGAGTCAAAGGAGGTGAGAAAAAAAGAGAGTCTTAGACATTTTTCTTCTTATATAACATGAAAAGTTTTTTTAATACAGTGAATCTCACACACAAAAAACAAAAAAACAAAAAAAAAAAAACAAATGTATGTTATGGAATTGCCGTGAGATGCTTTATCGTCAAATCTTTCAATTCTTTTATTCAAATGTCATCACATCTTTTATCTTATTCTAATCAAACAATTTCATAACACAAAAACGAATATACAGATTCCATGATATTACTTGTTTTCCTATTCTCTTAATTCTGTCCCCTAAACAAACGTAGTAAAAAAAAAGTACTAAAAAATTGTTCTATCACCTATGTATATCTTACAAAAAGAGACCACAATAATGTATAAAATTGCCAAGAAATTCTTTACCTTTCCGTTATCAGGTCTAAAACACTTACCATGATTCAAATCTCATCACATCCCTTATTCCACACACTCTAACCAAATAGTTTCATGTGTCACAAGAAGATATGCATAATTCATGGTATTACTCATTCACTATTTTTTTAATATTATTTTTCAAACAAACATGACTCATGGTATTACTCATTCACTATTTTTTTAATATTATTTTTCAAACAAACATGACCCAAAGTATCCAAAATTTGCTTGAGGGAATATCTCACATAAAACGCATATAATTCATTATTTTTTATTCTCAAAATTTTTAATCTCTTTGTTGAAACAATCTTCTGTGTAAAATAAATAATGAAACAAATAAAATAAATTACTTACCGAATTTATTTTACCAAACCGAATAAATAAAAAAAGATCAAGTCGAGTGTGTGACACTATGTCCTTAAGATAGATTCGCCCTACTATGGTATTTACGGATAAAAGGCGTCTCTCTCCCAAGATACAATGATCTTCACAAATTGTAATAGCACTCCAAACAATTTGTACGGCGAACAAAAACCTGTGTTTTATACTCTCTGAATTTTTTTCTAAAACTAAAATGAAGAATAATGTAATAAAAGAGCAAAACCGAAAAGGTGACAGATTTTTCTGGATGTTTTTTATCATTAAAAACTGCTGGAATGAGTTCTATTATTTATAGGACCATTGGTGATGGTTGGGAAGATTCGAACAGATTCAATTTCAAACTAAACAGGTATCAACAGTTTTCACATCTGTTAGTAACTGCTAGACAGATTTGAATATGTCTGGGCAATTTTATACTATAAAAACAATTTGAACCTGTCCGGATTTCAACAGATTGAAAAACTATTTGGATTGATTAATCTATTGTGAAATTCGGATTTGAAAAGAGACACAAATTTTGGACAAAAATTTGAATTCAAATTCAAATTACATTGGCGCAAAATTTAAATTAATTTTTCCCGCGAGAATTTTGAAAAAAATTCAAATAAATTTTGTTCAAAAAATTAATATAAGAACCGATCCAACCCACACCCGGCACAGCTTGGCCGAACGGTGGTGCGTGTGTAGTGGTTTGAGCCAATGTTTTATTTGTCTATAACTCCTCCCTTCTACAAACTTGGAGTGCTCTTTGGGGCCCAACCCAAGTGTTGCCACCTAGAACTTATACACTCACATAAGTTCTCTTAAGTTTCCAATGTGGGACAAGCTTTACAAGGAAACTCACATTTAGGGGTTGTTTGAGATGACCTAAATAAGTGTACTTTTTGTCTTTTTACAAAAAGCTGTGCAGAAAAGTAGAGAGGTGATGTGATGAAAAAAAGATAAAAAGATGGATTATTTGAAGTATGCCAAACTTGGCTTTAATTATCCATTCCACAAACTCAAAAACGACATTAAGTTCTCATTCACTTATAAATGGTTTTGACGAACCATCTTCACCGTGTGACTTACCATGCGATAAGGAACACGTCACCACTTTAGACCCATCCCAAAAGACGTGTGGAACCACACTCAATTTTGGGCTCAAAGTTGGCCCAAAATAAGCCTATAAAACCAAATTTTCCAACATCTCTCAACCTAAAATACGCATATAATAGTTGAAAATTTCTTTGTGTACTCAAATACAAATAGATTTGTTAATAACTGTAATTTTTTTTTTATCATTGTGTGTGATCCTATGTAAAATAGGCTCATAAAACAGTTTCTTTCAAAGCTTAAAAAAAAAAAATTGCATATTCTCAGACTAAAATCAAATCCTTATTTGTGTTAATCAAATTTATTAAAAATTATGAATTTCACTTGTATCAAAATATTTTTTTCCTGAAAAAATAAAAAGCAACAGAAAATTTTATAATATACAAATTATGATTTGGTTATAACTTATGGTGTATTATTTTAGTTATTAATCCAAAAGATCTTTGCTAATTTCTTATATTTTTTGTTATGTCTAAAGTGGTGTATCGGGTCTTTAATTATAATTCAAATAGTGTTTGATTATAATTTATTATGATATTTTTATATGACAATATTTAAGTATTTTATTACACGAAAAAATATTTAAGGTGGATTGACTCAAAACTAAGATTTATATTTATATTAGTAAGATCGTAAGAGTTATTCACATTATTGATGCATAAAAAATTACAAATTCAAATTATAAACTCAGACACAAAATCTCTATAACCTTAATAATTTTAGTTCTCAAATGGGTTCTAATTAATTGTGTGACAGATCATAATAACCGTAAAAATTTTATTCCAGCCCAATTATTTTTGCATATCTTTTCTGGCAGAGCTCATGAAGGTGCATTATAGTAATATTATAAATTCAAAATTTTTATTTAAAATTTATTCAAGAAACATCAATAGGTGCCTTAAATATACACAATCATTATTCTTCCTTTCTAAAAAAAAATCATTATTGTTTAACATAATATTTCACATTATTTATCATTTGACATTTGTCAAAAAAAAGTATTGAGTTTCGGTATTATAATCAATCAAATTGGGCGCTACACGTGTATATAAATCACTTCTACAAATATAATGTACGATATAAAATCACAATAGAGTTAATTTTAATTAGTTTAATGATATTTTATATTATGATATATATGTACAAAAGAATAATTTAAATTTAAATTTAAATTATTTATCTTAAATAATCTTAACTTTATCGTTTTATAAAAGTATTACTTGAATATTTATATATAATAAATTTAATAAATTATTTGTTTATTTTGATAATTTTAATTCTATTGTACTATAAAAGTGTAATTATCATATAATGATTTTACATAATACATATTAAACTATAAGATAGTAAAATAAATACTTATTTTGATATTAACAATAAAAGTTAAATTAGAAAGAGAATTAGTAATATAAAACTAAAAGTGATTCCAATTAATTTTATATATATTTAGAAAATAAAAATATGTAGAAATAGAACTATACAAAAATTATATTTAAAAGATTAAATATAAATATGTTGTGATTGGATTAAGAAGAAAATATATAAATTAATTATGTAGAGTATTAATTTTTTTTAATATTCTTTTTGAATTATTCATACATATTTTATATAGGTATATAAAATTTAAATTAAATATAAATATTTTTTAATAAATAATTTCATGTTAAATATAAATTAAATATAAATTAATATTAACAAATTAATAAGTTAGACAAAAAATAAAAAATATAAAAAAAAATTAATTTGATCTGTGCAATACACATAATTAAGTACATTCTATCTGATTTATTTATTTATTTGTATATCGAGATAATTTTTTCTAAATATCATAATAATTAAATTAAAATATCAACTATATATATGAAAAATAAGTATTTCTCAAATAGAGTCTGTATGAAATTGGTTATTATAATTGAAATTGAATTTGTGTAAAACTTTATATATAAATGAAAAAGACATACTTGTGTGATTTTTTTAGAAAAAAATAAACCTTTAAAATGTACCACATAACAAAGGAAAAAACACTATATATAAATATATACATATGATATGAAGAGTCTTAGTGTCTCACCATGAAAATAAATTTGTTCACACGCTCTTATACAAATTGTGATTGGTCCAAAAAAATGGATTTTGATACTGATGGGCACTCAAGGAGGCCTAGTTCACGGCTCAGGTGTTAAAGCCCAATAACTTTGAAAAGCCAATGCTAGTTTAGGACCAATAGCATTCAAACACTTGTCGGGCAAAAAATTAGTCGCGTGAGCAGACAAAGATCTTGCAAAGTTATTGCACCCACACATTGTAGACGTCCCCGAACGTCCCGGGAGGATTAAGTCCCGTTCTGTTCATTTGGGGTCACTACAGCTCGGACTCTCAAATTGTCACGGTTCTTAATCTGAACCAAAGAGTCCAAATCCGACAAATTGTTTTGAGAAACAGATTTTAGAAAAGAAGTGCCAAACATGGACTGCTTTGCCAGATACAGAGTCGCCACCTAAATATTTTAAAATGGGGAAATTTAGGAAACCCTAACTCGGTGCCGAAGGCCACGTGTCCGTCATCACCAAAGTTGCCTCGGCTCGGGAACTTGGGTACGATTGGGGAAGGTCAGCTATAAGCACCCCCTCTCGCCCGGTCTGAAGACCGGCCTCTA